CCCTGCCTTATCAGGGTGGGCAATTCCGATTCAAATCTTGGGCTCAGACTCGTCTCATCACTCCACACTTGTCACCAGCACAGTATGAGCCTACACACAGAGATTACTATTGCTACCCAGAATCTTCTCAGCATCAACCACGGGAAGATCTCAGAGATCGATACTACCAACAATATGATCTGTACTTCCCCAAAGACTTATCGGAGCAAATTTACTACACCAAACCCAAGAGAGTCCGATATGTATTCGTGAAGGCTTTCACGGCCGGGATCTAACAGTTCTTGTGGGTTTTTCGGGCTCTTTGGCCGTGTTTTGAAGGTTGTTCTTCCTAACGTTTCGCCAGTCTCTGTGGCCGGCATCTTCAGATGCTTTGCCGTATCCATCTCAATACTCACCTCCTGTGTCTCCATCACCACCTCGATACCGACACAGTTCCTACTCATCGCACTCGACATCGACTCACCAGATTCCGCTTGCTACCAAGCCGGCGCTCAAGCGCACTATTTCATCATTGGAACAACCACAGTCTGCGCGTTCCAAGCATTCTTCCAAACATCCTCCCCCTCAAAATACATCTCTACACATTACGACCACCTATAAGGGGCCTCCTCCTCCTGATATGGAATAGTACTCTACAACCCAAGTACCCCCTGCTTCACAACAGCCTTCTTCGACTTGATTCTCTGCATCAAAATCACAAAATCAATCTCTATCTTCTGAATCATCCACATCGACTCAGGATTCGGCCTCTGATATTTCTCCAGAATCATCCTCCAATTTACTCACTCCAGCATCTGATGTATCTCCAGAATCACCCTCCAATTTACCCACTCCAACATCTGATGTAGCAGAAAATCATCCATCCTCACCTTCGGAAGATTTTACTTCGTACTCTCAGCTAGTGATGAGGATGGCTAAGTCTCTACAATTAGAAATCAAAGAACCACCACCTAAACAAGACTTAGTTTTTGATGATATTAATCAAGAGAAGACACCTTTGCTTAGCCTTACCTTCATATCTGCTATGCTAGATTTGATTAGAGAATCATGGGACAAACCACCTTCATCATTACAAATAAGAAGACTTGCGGAAAACCATTATAAAACCCATGGTCCAGACACTGCCTTTTTATCCAAACATCCAACACCAAATTCAATTATTGTAGAATCCAATCAATTGAGAGCTCGCAACAAATCATCAGTTGCACCTACCAACCACGAGGGAAGAAAATTAGATATTTTGGGTAGACGTATTTACTCCCTCACTTCATTTGTTATGTGGGTTGCCAACTATCAAGCCGACATGGGAGCTTATCATAGGCAACTGTGGAATAAGATCCTCCCTGTTATTCAAACAGCTCCTGAGTCTTCTAAGACTGAAGCCCTAAATATTCATGCTGAGGCTTCTACTCTGGCCAAACAGCAAAGAATTGCTTCCTGTCACACTACTGATGCTGCGTCTAAGGCGATGGCTAATTCTATTCCCCTTAGATGCCATACCTGGCTTAGGTCAGCTGGCATATCTGATGACACCGGATCGAGAATTGTAGACCTCCCATTCAATGGTGCTGGCCTTTTCAATGAAAAAAACAGACAAAGTAATGGACAACCTATATAAAATTTGGAAAACAGCTCGATCATATTCCACCCAGCAAATATTTTGTTACCAGCAACCCCAGTACCGCAGACAGTCCTTTGTCCCACAGCCATTTCAGACATTCCACCAACCATACCATACATACAAGCCACAAATACAGGATAGACCTCATTCCGGCCCGTCAGCATCTACCGCACCATTGGTTCAACCCCAGCAACAGCAACCACGTCGACAACACGTTTGATGTCAACAGAAGAAGGATAAGCAGTATCAATAAACTCCTTCCGTCTTGCACCACTATTTCCACTCCGTTTCACACCAGGTTACATCCTTTCCTCAGTGCATGGCGTCAAATCACCAAGGACCAATGGGTCCTTCGATTATCGAAAAGGGCTATTTCATTGAATTTCTGCATACTCCACTTTTCACTGTCATTAAAACTACTCTCCACTCATTGGCACTTCAAGAAGAAATTTCCCTTTTTCTCTAAAAACAAGTCATACTCCTCGTCCCTTCCTCTGCCCTGCATGATGGTTTCTACTCTAGATACTTCACTGTACCGAAAAAGACGGAGGACTCTGTCCCATCCTCAACCTTAGAAACCTCAATAAATTCATTCGATCTAGAGGTTTCAGAATGCTGACATTTGACATTATCATTCCTCTCCTTTCACAGGGAGACTGTGAAATCTCCTATTTCACCACATCCAGCTTATCAAGGTTCATAGATCTTACATTCCAGGTTTCTATGCAGTATTTTTCTTTGCAGCATCGGACTTTCCTTTCACTTCCAGGCACGTCCACAGCTGAGCGACCTTTCGTCTTTGGCCCAACCACTACATTAGCTCTGGAGCTACTTGTATTTGTCCTCCGCTCTTCCTCAGTAGCATGTTGGACGCCTTCCGACCTGAGGGGCTCATCTTCCAGTGTCATATCTTTTAGCCTTTTGTTTCTGTCCATGGAGTTTTCTTGGCAAAGATACTGGAGTGGCTTGCCCATTCCTGCTCCAGGTGGATCGCATTGAGTCAGAACCCTCCACTATGACCTGTCCGTCTTGGGCGTCCCTCCACAGCATAGCCCATAGTTTCTCTGAATTACTTAAGCCCCTTTGCCATGACAAGGCAGCAATCCATGAAGGGGCTGCTACTACTAACCTGAAATTGTTTTCTTTCAAGACATCATTCTTAGTAGCGATAACGTCTGCTAAACATGCTAGCGAACTTGCAGCTCTTCGATCAGACCCATCTTTCCTGCAGTTCCAATGTCATTTTATACCCAGATGTTCCATTTTTACCTAAGGTTGTATCTGACTTTCATCTCAATCAACTGATAATGCTGCCTACCCCATTTTCATCTCCTTCTACACCTCTCAAGTGCATGCTCCACATGCTTGATGTCAGACGTTCCTTGGCTTTCTACATTGACAGAACCAAATTATTCAGGAAAGCATCAAGGCTCTTTCTATGTTTTGATGGCCCTAATAAAGGCTCACCAGCCTCGTCCCAAACGCTTGCTAGATGGATTGTACAAACAATTTCATTGGTACATAAATTGGCAGGCAAGACACCACCTGAACCCTTGAAGGCTCATTCGACTAGAGCACTGTCTACTTCCACTGCCTTCCAACAAGGAATAGAAATTCCTTACATCTGCCGTGCAGCTACACTGTCCATTCCATCAACGTTTGTGACACATTACCATGTGGATGTCCGAGCAAAGAATGATGCTGCTTTCGGCAGAGCTGTTTTGGCTTCCTTTCTACCGTGACGTCCCACCATCCGGTAAATGAGCTTGCCATTCACCCAATTGTGTGCTTTCACAGAGGCCACAAAAAAGAAAGAGAGGTTACTTACCTGTAACCATGGTTCTTCCTAGTGGTCCTCTGTGAATCCACACATCCCGCCCTGCCTTCCCTCTGTCCATCATGTTGTCTTATATAGCTCTTCGAGAGCAGTTGACTCTTTTGGGAACTGAGGGGACTTCTGGCAGACGGAGCATGCACTCCATGGGGAAACATCCGACTAATCACATGTCTTTAAGCTCTAGAAACGTCCGAGAGATCCTACACAGGCACAGAACAACCCAATTGTGTGGATTCACAGAGGACCACTAGAAGAACCATTGTTACAAGTAAGTTACCTCTCTTTATGCTTAATAGAACATTAATTTTCAAATCAAGGCAGCATGGAATACCCTTTCCTGGTTTTGAATAAATGTCTTATTCACAATTAGGATTGCTTTCTAGTTGTAATTGCCACGTGTTAACTTATTAAGTACATATCATTGGAAAATAAGATGGATCCAATTAATATGCTTGAGTATGGTTTTCTGGTTTTGGAGATAGAGCAAAAATAATAGACCAAATTCGTATGTCACATGAAACTAAGTTGGAGCAAAATGCAGCCCATAGGCTGTGCAATAAGGGAGGTTTTTTTTTTCTTTTTGCCATCTTATGCATGTACAGTAGTTTGCACATTAACTGTTAAGGTTCGACTTATAATGAGAACGTATTATTATATCTGGAATAGACTAAAAGGGATTTATCAGCGAGAAACAACTGGAACAAAAATAGCACTTACCAGAAAATTGTTCCAGTGCAGAATGCAGTCGGGGCAGAGTGCACGCAGAAATTGAGTAATAGAGGAGAGAGCGAACAGTGTTCTCTGACTACTTTTATACATAAGTCCAGCCTAGTCTGTCCAATCATAAAGTGGTGATCCCTGAAACAAGGTAGCACCCACTATCCAAGTCTCCTCTATTTAGTAGTTGACCTCTGGGAGTGGTGCCTAGCACATCATATCTGTCTCACAGCTTTACACATTGCTGGCCACAACAACAACTTGGCAGAACTACTCATTTTTTTCTAGTCAGTACATTCATTGTTGTTGCAGTACATTTGTGGATGTTGTAGAATTTGTCAGGTGTTTGTATATGCAGCAGTATCTTACAGAAATTAATATGCCATTGTGGCACACTTTCACTGATCACTTTGGAAGCCCCTCAGTATTCCTCGAAATTTTGATTCTTTCTTGATTTTAAAAGATCTGTGTCTTGTTGGAATGCTTCCCAATGTACAAATATATAAAATATTTCCGCACATGCAGAATAATGTTATTTTATTTAAATTAATTTAAATAATTTTCTTCATTTAAAACACTTCTGTAGATTTAGAATAACTACAACAATAAAAACTCACCTTATAAAACTTGAGCATACATTTCAGTTGTATTTATTGTTAATTTTACCTGTAAATGTTAAACACTTCTCATACACTTCATTTATTTCTCTGTTATGAGTCAGTTATATGAGATATTTAGTCCAAAATATTTCTTAATATGTGGGCTGTTGGTGTTCTGTGAAAAAAAACTGCCAGGCTATTAAAGTATATTTTCTGTTTCTCTTAGAAAACTGTAACCACAGCTTCTATGATCACCACTAAGACGCTACCTCTTGTCCTGAAAGCAGCAACAGCAACCATGCCTGCCTCTGTTGTAGGTCAAAGACCTACAATTGCCATGGTGACTGCCATCAACAGCAGCCAGAAAACTGTCCTTAGCACTGATGCACAGAGCACGCCAGTCAATCTCCAGACAACAAATAAAGTCACTGGTCCAGGAACAGAGGCAGTCCAAATAGTGGCAAAAAATACAGTCACGTTGGTAAGCAGACACTATAGTCTTACATTCAGTTTGCAAACTATTGTGTGTGTTTTTAAAAACTTGTTTTTATAATTAAGGGATATATACACTTTTAAATAGGTGAGGTGATGTTTAACAACATAAAGTACTGCAAGAGAATATTTTTACTTTAGTAGAATTCAAGCTTAATATCTCTAAAACTACAATCTTATACAGTATACACTTCCCTCACAGTAGACACTTCCCTCACAGTATTTTCCATTGTACCCAGTGGTATTTACTTTTGACCTGATATGCGTAAGATCGTACTTGTACTGTCTTAACTACTGATTGATATCAGTGTTATTCTGAGCACTTCTTGAAATGTCACAGCATAATAATTTTCCCTATACAATGTTTACGATGTTCTGCTTGCTGGAAGAGATGTTGTTGTGTAGATTTGGTTATGCACAGGCTTTGATAAGGATGGCTTCTTCACTTAATGATTGCTTATGAGTGTTCTTATGAACACTCATAAGAAAGAGTGTTCCTTCTCTTTC